AGACCTGAAGGACCAGATACCCTATAGAATCATTCTATCACCCTATTAGAGACCTGAAGGACCAGATACCCTATAGAATCATTCTATGAACACTTTAAACCAACTCAACAGGCGTGTTTTCCTTTAGTCATGCACAAAAAAACTTTTTAAGGTAAGACTGAACATAACCACTATGTTATTTTCTCTTTTTTTAATAAAGTACATTAAAGTGTACCGATAGCAAACCGTCTTGTAGAACAGTTAGTTCTAGTTAGGTGAGGAAGACGCGCACAGACAGGTCTGTGCTGCGGGAGTTTTTGTCTGTTAAAAACAAGTCAAAAAATAATGAAGAAAGATAAAACACAGCCAGAGTTTGTCCCAGCGCCGCAGATCATGTAGGAAACAGTTTGCACCCAGAGGACGCCGCCCGGTGAAAGGAGACGCCGCCCAGGGGAAAGAAAGACGCTCCGGTGAGATCTGGACCTTATTTTTCTTTTAGGGATTTTTGGTGGCAACGCTGTTTTTCTAATCTTTTTTTGGGGGGGGGGTTGTCGTTTGGATTTTTCGTCTTGGAAAGGACTTTGGACTTAAATGCTTCCAGGATTTAACTTTGGGTTCGGAAGATATGGAACTCCTGTTTGGACATTATTATTAAAAATAAAAACAGACAGTTTTGGACTTTCAGTTATTAGGGATGTTTTTGTTTGTTTTTTGCAGATATAAAAGAGATATTGAGTTTACTTATAAATTGGTTGTGAAGGTTTTTGGGTTATTGATCATTTATACTGAAATATTATTGAATAAAACTTTGGATTCTTGGTAGTAGTGCGATAGTTTTGTTATTTTATTTTTGTTATTTTGTTATGTTTTTTTAATAAATCTTTGTTTGCTAACAAAAATCAACATAATCCTGCTTAGTGGTTGGATTTTTTTTCTTTCGTCTCAGATTTATATTGTAACACTTATTGCCTGTTTACCTGTAAAAATAAACTTGAGTATTTGTGAGTTCTGCTTTTATTTCTAAAAGATCGCCATACACTTAAAAAAATACAGAAAATTTAGTAATTAAATAGTTTTTTTGTAGATGACTAAAGGGACACATGCCTATCAAGGTTTGAAGTCCATTTTTCATACGAAACTAAAGGGATAATCAGGTATTGACTATGAGTATGAGCTGCAGAGACACTGAGACCCGATTAGAGGGAAACCGACTCGGATCAGAACCAGAACCAGATACCGGATCCTAGAGATCAAACCTTAGAACCGCTCCATGGATCAGAGTCTGATCAATAATCATTTACTGTAACAAAGTGATGCAGTTAAGCCTTCTGATCCGCTCGCGGCCCCGCCCCTTCTTATGACGTCATCATACAGCAACTCTATTCAGACAGACTGGTTTGCTCTGGTTTCTAAAGGATCTAATCTCATCATATTATTCCCTATATTTGCTGTTATTTTACATTTAATCGTTGATCTAAAGTAGGAAACAATCATCGACTCAGAGGCAAAGAGTCAGGAGAGTCAGTGCTGCTCAGAAAACGCTTCATATGTTTGTTATAAATGTGACCAAGAGGTGAGCGGGGAACGTTCAGAGGAATCAATCAATTTCTGTAAATAAAACTGTATTTTCAAACTTCCAACCAGTTTAATAAAACATTCTTATTTATTTTACTAAATTATTTCTAATACAAATTTAGATAATAAATAATAATATCATATAATACATATATATGAGACCTGTTTTAAGGTTTATCTAATCGCACACTAGAACCATTTCAGTCGATGACATCATCACTACTCATGTGCTCCATTGGGTAAAACGTCGCCCAGCCAGTGATCCTGATGTTGCAGCTTCTCCTGAACGGATCGACTCACTGACCTTTTTCTCCTTCAGGTAGTAGCCGATGGCGAAGTTCCGATCCCCCGACTCGCGCTCCGACTGGAATCTGTCAGACAAACAGAGAACAAACCGTTTTCAGACATGTCTGAGCTGGAATCCTGCAGGAATGTGAACACTATGAGCAGAACGCTATGAGCAGAACGCTGGTACTCCCATCACACCTGCCTTCACAGAGAACATTCCCAGCATGCAGCGGGGTCAGAAGCAGGGCAAATTAGAGC